ATATAACTAATTAAGCTAATTAGGTTATATTTAAAAATAAATTTTTTTTTCCCTTATTATTAGCCTTATATAAGGCTATTAAGCTTTTTAACTTTTTTATAAAGGCTTAAATAGTAAGACCCCTATAGCAGGCTATTATTATAGAATTTAAAATTATATAAGATTTATCTGCCTTAATAGTATAATTACTACCTTAACTAGGCAGTATTAATACCAGCTCTTAGCAGCTAGGTTACCTTTTTTCCTTTATCCTACCTAAAGGATATACTTAGTTTATTTATTATACTTAAGTAAGTTTCCTAACCTGGCTTTTAACCCTTCTTACTAATAATATAATAATTATATTATCTTAATACTTATTATATAAAATAGCCTATAGTTATATAATTATACCTATTATTTAACTAGCTATAACCTTAATCTAGCTATTAGGCCTACCTTAGATATAGCTAGTAAAAAGAAACTTAAAGAGATTTATATAATAATAACTATTATTAAAAAGAACTTTTTATTAAAGTATAAATTCAACCTTATTAAGATAACTATCTTTAATTATAGCCTAATCTAGCTAATTAGTTATATAAATTAGAGGTATTATATTAGTTAAATTAATTTAAACTAGGTTAACTCTAAGCTATTAGGTCTAAAAGACCTAGAAAGGGGCCTAAGGGAAGGTTATTACCTTTAGTTAAACTAGGCAGCCTTCCTTACTGCCTTTATAGGTCTAAACTTAATTATATATAAAAAGTAGCTCTTTAATATCTCTAAAAGGGTTATTATTATTAAGGAAGAGCTACTTTTAAATTAGTAAGAGGAGTTTATATATAAAGTTAGATAAATATAAGGCAAAGGCAGGGTTTTATAAAGAAATTAAATTAATTTTTATATAAGTTAGTTAGTAAAAGTTAAGTTAACCCAAAGTTATAACTAGCCTCTATTAATTAAATAAATATAATAGGGCATATAACTAATTAACCTTATATATAAAAATAAATAAAGTAAAATCAGTGAAAAGGCAATGGTTTAAACTAGGGATAAAATTAATATAAATATATTAAATTAATAAATATATTAGAAGTATTATATATAATAAATTTAAAGAATTACTTAGTATTATAAGTTTAAATAAAAGAGAGATAGTTCAATATTTAAATTAATTATAAGATAAAAATAAACTTTATTAATTTAAAAATAATTATAAAGTTATAATTATTATAAGAAAGGAAACTAAAAGCTTATATATTACTTAATATAAGAAGATAACTCTTTAGTTATATTAATAATATTATAAATTAAGAGATTAATTATCTTAAGGTATATATTAAAGGAAGAAATTATAAAACAAGTTATAATATTATTTCTCTAGGAGAAAAAATATATATACTTCTTAGTATATTATACCTTAAATAATAAAGTTTATATATTAATTAGAGGAATAATTAGGTTATATTTTCTAATAATTATAAAGTAATATAAGAATAATTATAATAAATAGAAAGAGATTTTAAATTTTAATTAAAGAAAATACTATAGGTAAATATAAAATAAGGTACTAATTAAGTTTAAAAGAAGTATAATATAAATATAAGATAAGTATATAATAAAAATTAAATATCCTAGGGATTTTTAAAAAATCAAATCCTTAAAGAGAAGAAATAAATATAAAACTAGGCTAAGATTAACTTAAGGATATTTTAAAAGGATATTAAATATATAATATATTATTTAATAAAGAATTAAAAATAAAAATCCTAGAATATATATTATTAGGTCATAAGGTTAAGCTTATAAATAAGAACCTATAATTTAAAAAGATATATTTACTTAATATAATAAAGTTAAAAATATAAAAAAAAGTATTTCAAAACGATATTAAGGAAAGAATATATTAAAAAATCTATTTTATTAATAAAAGTATTACTATTCTTTATTAATAAAAGAAATATAAATAATAAACCTATTACTAATTATAAAAAGCTTAATATATATATAATTAAGAATAAAATACCTTTATTACTTATTATAAAACTTAGAGAAAGGCTATAAGGAAAGGAGGTTTTTATAGTTTTAAATCTTAAAAGTATATATAACTTATTATATATTAAGAAAAAAGATAAAAAGAAGATAGTATTTTAAATAAGATTTAGGTTATTTAAGTATCTTATTTCCCCTTTTAGACTTATTAATATATTAATAATCTTTTAATAGAAAATTAATTATATATTATAATAATACCTAAATAATATTAATAATATATTACCCCTAGTTTAAACCACTACTTTTCTATTAATTTTACTAGATTTATTCTTATATATAAGGTTAATTAGTTATATATTATATTATATATATTTAATTAATAAAGTTATAACTTTAGGTTAATTTAACTTTTATTAACTAACTTATATAAAAATTAACCTAATTCCTTTAATTTTAACTTTAATAAAATTTCTAAACGTTACCTTTACCTTATATTTATCTTTACTTCTATATAAGAGAGAGGATATAAAGTACCTACTTAGCCTTAATAATTATATTCTTAAGTTACTCTTTATACTAGGCTAAGTTTAGGCCTATAAATATAATAAGTAAAGCTACCTCTTCTGCCTTAAGAGACTAGCCTTATTATAAGGCTTCTTTTAACTTCTTTAATTTAAATAGCTCTCTAACTAGCTAGGTTAGAGATATTATATTACCTAGGTAATCTAAATCTATATAACTAATTAAGCTAATTAGGCTATATTTAAAGATAGTTATCTTAATTAGGCTTAATTTACCCCTTAAAGAGAAGTTTATCCTAATAGCTTTAATTATCTTATATAATATATAATAATCTTTACCCTTAGCTTACTTTAGTATTAATTTAATTATATTAATAAGATTATAATTAATTATATGATAGCCCTAATTAGGCTATAGGCTATTATATATAAGTATTATATTAGTAGCTATAATTAATATTAGTAAGTATAACTAGAAGTTAATTTAGAGAATATACTTAGGAAATATAATAAATAAACTAGGTATATTCTTTAGGTAAGATAAAGAAAGAAAGATAACCTAACTGCTAAGAGGTAGCTGGCATTAATACTACCTAGTTAAGGCAGTAATTATACTATTAAGGCAGATAAACCTTATATAATTTTAAATTCTATAATAATAGCCTACTATAAGGGTCTTACTATTTAAGCCTTTATA